TACGAAAACTTCATCCACTTTTCAGCCCGATTTAGCAGTTGCAGTAAGCAGATGACCATCAAATGTTTTGGGATTCTGCGTTTACGCTTTGGGTAACTTATATTGTTTTTCTTTTCCATTTCAATTTGTAAATATCAACAAAACAGAAGTTTTGGCGGCGTATTCAGATCCTCCCGACGCAGAGGACTGAAATGCGTTTTCGCTCGTGTCACCACTCAAGGAATTTTGCAGCTCTTTTGCGCAATCTTGATATTGTTTAATTTTTAGGAAACTGTTTGCTATCCTTTCCCGAATGATGCATAATGCATTTATGAGTATTTATAAAGCATACGGCAATTGTTTTGAAATTTAAATTTGTAAAAGTAAATTTCAAAAGTTATTGGTATAATATGTGGCCGACTATATAAATATTTCAAAAACCAGGGATTGCCTTATCAGCGAAAGATTTCAGATGGGAAAAGCAATCGGTTGGGTAAATTTGCAAGTCACATCAGCAAATTGTCGACCAGCACATGCGACATAATGCTTCTCGATATATAGTTATTTCAATAGCCCATATCTGTGGCATAAGATTTACACTGCACATTCAATACCGACTGTGGACATTGCTTTACACATAAACTAAGCAAGACAGCTTTTGGAATGTATATTTCCCGTAAAGAATTTGGGCCCAGTAAGAGTTCTTACCGATTTGTTTGGTCGAAGAGGTTAAATTGATTTATTTATCACTTTCGTTACAGTAAAATTCTGTTACTTAAACCTGTGAATTGTTAGCTTGCTCAAAAAGCAGGACGATGTCGATTTTATATCGTCGTCTCACGAGAAAGAGTGTGGTGTACGAAAATACTCGATTCGCTTTCGGAGATCAAAAGAACGAAAATTCCTAAATAGCATGCGCACAGAGAATATCGCATCTCAGTCCACAACTTACTATTGAAAATGCTTCTAAGCATACTTGCCGATAATGATATATGAACAGTCAGATCTAGCACACCAATTTTGAGCAAGAAGTGACTTTGCGCAGTGTGACTTTCAGTTAGTTCTACGCAAATAAGCATGCTGTCGTTGATAAAATTCTCTGATATCTTTGTGCAGCGAATCACAATTACCATAACGACGAGATTCCTCTTCCAGTTTAATAGCAAAGAGGCTACCAGAAAATGACCTATACTTCCAGGGAAAGCTACCGGCCCTCATTGACAAACCTTAACCATCGCTGTCGATTTATCTAGCTCATAAAATATTTTTTCTTTTCTTAAAAAATATATGGTAAAACTGTATCAAATAACAATCTGTAATAATATGCACTTCGAATTTCAAAAATGGTCAACACAGTTTGCTCGCCCATATTTTCCAAAATGACCCCTTACTACACATTTCAGTGAGTATTTCATTACTCAGATAGACGAAATAAGTTAAAATGTTGGGCTCATCCTGAATATTATTTTGCTATCACTTGCGCGCCAAAGAATAAGAGCCACATTTACTGACGGGTACGAGGTTAATCTGAACATGAAAATCATGGCGCAAACGAAAAAAATTAGATGGTTAATAGGTTCGTCTGAGGTTTTATATAAATACCTAGGAATATGGACATTTTATTGTTCCCAAAAGAAGATAAAGAAACGGCCTGGTTTAGACATGTTTTTGGTTTTAACCTTAAGCCCTGTTTAATTACATACTAGCTTTTCAAGTAGTCGATAAGGATGTTAAGTGATCACGGACATCCACTATTGAATGTGCATACGACTTGTGCATCAGGTGTGCAGATTGAAACACAAAGTTTGCAGCTCTTTGGCCAAGCGGACATTTTACGCCTTGCCAACATTCCATATTGAGCCCAAATTCATATTTCAAGGGTTCAACGGACAATTATAGTGGCTTATTTACTTATTTTACCGGTCAACCTATTCGTTACTTTTGATTGTAGACTGCTCTACCAGCCGGCAATCCTTTTGACGAGGCAATTGACATTCCATCTTCTGATTCAGAGGAAATACCGAGCGATAGATCGTTTAGCATCCCTTCAAAGAGTAATGATTCTTTTTGTTTTCCACCCACATTTCTTTATTTTGAAATATTTTTCTGATGAAATGTACACTATTCCTTTCGAAGCGCACCAGTTGGTTACTTTGAAAAAGCCAGATTTTTGTTCTTCCAAAATAAGCTGACGACTGTGCCCGAGGTAAAAATTGTGAAAAGGCGATGATACTTTTACTAGGGTTTGTTGACAGTGACTGTCACTTAGTAGGCTCGCTTACTATTGCAGTCTTTTGGTCAGAATTCACTTAGATGAAACATGTAACGGGACGACGCTGAAAACAGTGATTGCGACACTCTTTACCCCTTACTATCAAGATAATAAATGTGCACAGAGCGTACTATATGCAATACTTTGACGTTTGCGAGAGCTAGTGCCCTTCTCAATTCAGGTTATAACTGGCCGTTTGGAGTTTGGAGCTTCCTTGTCTAGGACCACCCACTGGTCCCGAAATGCATACTTTCAATTTCGCCATATTTGTCTTCTAAGCTGAAAGTTTGGTGGGGAAGGGGTGCATAAGAGAAGTTCGATGCGTAATCACTAAGTGGACTATCCATAAGAATAATGTTGTTCTGGCTCGCACAAGAGTACAAGTTTAAGCTCTACTTGCAGTCAGTGAAGTAATAATCAATATTTTGACATATGTCTTTGAGTAGGAAGGCTAATTTGAACGGGTTGCTGATTGCGCAAACGTGTTAACGTTCTGTGGAGTTTAGACACCTAATCCTTGTGACATTC